GGGGTGGGGAGAAGCCTTGAGGGAGGGGTGGGGTGGGGGCGGGGCCTGGGACAGAGCCAGGGGTCGAGCACCCCCCCAGCACTTTGGAATGTCGGTGCTTGTGCTCTGGTTCTATGTTCAATTTCTAAAGGATATACCAGGAATGGTCACAGCCCATGACTGTGAGCCAGAAACTCTTGAATTTCATGATACTTACTGCCTTTGTGCCATGGGAAAGTGATGTGCTCTTAGCCCCAATTTTCCCAACTATAAAAAATGGGGATAGCATCCTTTACTTGCCTCATGGATCTGTTGTGATGAGTAACTAACTAATGTTCAAGTGCTAAGGATGACTGTTGTACATAGTGCCATGTATAGATATCGATATGTTACCTAGAAATTGTTATACTTCATTTAAATACCACATAGATCTAATATTTTCAAGGCAATTGTCCTTCATCAGACAGCACATTGAAATAATTAATTCCCTTTATTGTAAAGTTCCTATCTTTTCTTTTCAGAGTTGTGTCTGCAAAGGTAAAAGCCATTGCTACTGTGATGGAATGAAAGGTAATAAGGTAAGAGACTAAATTTGTTATCCTGTTCCTATTTCTCCCCCCACCTCCCCCAATAAATCATTGGTGCAAATTAATAACATATGAATGATAGACAGAATAAATTTACTGGGTGGTGGTACAAACAGATATTTCTGGTAAAGACAGCCCTCAGATGGATTCACTACCTCACGTTCACCTCTCAGAATAACTCTGTACACACTGTTTAACTAGGAAGAATGTAAAAGTTTTAAAAACTGACCCTAACTAAATGGAAATGTCTACACAGCCGGTGTTAAAGCGCTGCTGCAGGGGAGCTTTAACGTGGCGGTGTAGTCACAGCTCCAGTGCTGAGAGAGAGCTCTCTCAGGGCTGTAATAAAACAGCCTCCACGAGGGGAGTAGCTACCAGCCAGTGCTGGTGCACTATCTACACTGCCACTTTACAGCGCTGAAACTTGCATCGCTCAGGGGGGGTGTATTTTCACACCCTTGAGCGAAGAAAGTTTCAGCACGGTAAATGGCAGTGTAGGTGGTACAATGGTAGGTGCTTGGAGTTAGTTTCATGTAAACAACTAGCCTGGGTAGCCTCCTTCCCTTATAGCTTCCCCACACTTCAGCAAGGCAATGCTGCAGTTGCATCCTAGTTACAATTACAATGTTCTACACTCACACACACACACACACACACCTATCTATAATCATAACCATAACCTGTATACATATCTCTTAACGGCCATCACGTTCAGAACATTACCAGGTTTCATGAAAGGCCTTACTTGACACATTTAGAGACAATAACACTGTATACAAACCAGTTGATTCCGTTGTTTATTCTTTGGAGTTTAGACCCCCTCGTCTCCCCTTGGGCAGTCTGGACCCTGATTATCACAATACGAGAGAAACGAGGTGGGTGAGGTAATATCTTATTGGACCAACTTCTGTTGGTGGAAGGCATGAGCTTTCAAGCTACACCAAGGTGGCTACTTGTGCATTCCTAGAATACTGGACTTTTCAGCAGTTCTGGGAAAGGCATGAGCCTACCCCTGCCTGCGTGACCCCATCCCCACCAGCGTGATCTCACATGCCCTGTCCACCAGCAGGGACAGAGCAGCATGCTCTTCAAAATGGGATCCCCGTCAGGTACCGGACAAAACCATATCCAGTTTTGTACCAGTACGAGACGGGACAAATCAGCCAAAAAGCTGACCCCCCCCAGTATAAAACCAGATAAGTGGCTTCCCTAAGCTACATACACAGAGCTCTTCTTTAGATTTGGGTTTCTTCATGTGTTACCTCTGTTCCCCTAAAAACCAACCCAGGGTCACACTTTTATTAGTTTTATTACGATGCTGCTGTTGGGTCAGATAGAAAAGAGATGGAGCGTATTCATACACTCACACATTCACTGCATTCATACCCTCATGCACCCACACACTTTCACAGGCAGAGAGTTACCGGAGACAGCATGGGGACGGAGAAGCCGAAGCGGGGGAGATCTGGTGTGTCTGCCCACGGTCACGAATCCAGGCTGCTGAGCAGGTCAAGGAGCAGCAGCTGCTTGTGTGGATGGCTGCTTCCTTTTTCTGGAACGGGGCGGCTCCTGTCATGTACACTGAGTTTCCCTTCTGTGTCCATCACCGAGAAGCATTCCCGGACCAGTTCCTTTCATGCATACCATGTTCTTCTTCTCTTTACAGCACTTCGTGATTGCCTTCTCAGGGCAGATTATATCAGACACACCTGTCTCTGGACTCCTTTCTCCTTGCAGCTCCTCTCCGCCCAGTCCCACATACAGTCCCTTGTTCACACTCCCTCGTTCACACTCTCTCTGAGGGATGGGATATTACAAAGCTTGGAAGTTCATACAAGTGGTAACTTGAAAAGGTTACAGAGCTTGCAAAGGTTACAAAACTTAAAAGGCTATGCTACCAATAACTGAAGTTACAAAGTCTGCAAAAAAGGTTGCAGAACTTAATGATACAAATTACAGATCTTACAATTGCATTTGAGCGGAGGCTTTACATAACATCATGTTGTGAAATTTCCATTTTAAGTAGCAAAATTCAATATCTTCCAAAGTTATTTGTGGTGGTGTTGGAGCTGTTTTGGTCTCAGGATATGAGAGAACAAGGTGGGTGAGGTAACATCTTTTATTGGAACAACTTCTGTTGGTGGAAGGTACAAGCTTTTGAGCTACACAGAACTCTTCAAGTACCCACTAATAACACTATCCTGACAAGAACATAAATATAATAAAGATTTAATAATGTCATGCAACAGGGTTCCCACTCACTGTTAGGGCACCTTCCCATGTCTAGATCTGGGAAAGTAACTCTCGTGGCATCAGGTGCCCCCTTCTGTTCTCTGCTCACTCTGCAATAGTCTCTTGTCTTGTAACTTGGCCCTCCAGCCAAGTCCCCAGTTAGTCCAGCCCTCCTGGGTTTAGGAAGTCCAACAGGACCACTATCCAAATGCCTCTTCTGGGTGGTGTTTAGCCCCAGTTTGGGGGCCCATGCCTCTATACCAGTGACTGGCAGATGAATCTGGGCCCACCTGCTGCACCAGGTTCCGGCTCAGGGATCCTATAACTAGCAGTCCAGGTCTGCTCAGTCCCCATCCCCATTGTTGTTTCCCTGAGTTCCTTCTCGTCCCTTGACTGTTTATGGGTTTACCATGGAGCCTGCACTACTCCCTGTGGCTACTTACCCTCTCCTAGCTTCTTGCTAGACTCCTTACTCCAGGGCAGGATCACCGGATTTACTCTCTCCCTGGACTTCCTTCTCGTCTCTGACAACCTCCCTTATCCCAGGAAGTGACGGCAGCTTCCTTCCCCTACAATTCCCCCTTCTGCTTTCAGCCTCCTGGCTTTATAGTACTGTTGCAGCCCTTCCACCGCTGGGCTTCACTCTTATTTAACCCTGGCCCTCCCTCTCAGGGGTGATGCCAGGTATTCTAATTTGTGTCTCAGACCCTCATTAACCCTCTCAGGGCTGGTGTGGGGTGCAAATCAGATCACATACTAACAAAATCACCTCCAGAGGCCCCCTGTCTCCAGTCCCCAGCTTGTCCAGCTCCCTGCAGCCCAAGGAAGAAAGATGGGCCTTGCAGCATGCACTGGAGTTTAACTCCTCACAGTTTGCACAACAGAGACCTACTTTAGATAAAAATAAACAAAGAGTTTATTTATTAGAAAAGTCATAGATTCCATGCTAGAGTACTAAGTGTATAGCAGTAGGAATGTACTACCGACCACCCGGCCAGGATGGTGATAGTGATTTGTGAAATGCTCAAGGGATTAGAGAGGCTACTATAAAAAATAGAAAATCCAATAATAATGGGGATTTCCACTATCCCCATATTGACTGGGTACATGTCACCTCAGGACAGGATGAAAAGTTAAAATTTCTAGATACCATTAATGACTGCTTCGTGGAGCAGCTAGTCCTGGAATCCACAAGGAAAGAGGCATATTCTGATTTAGTCCTAAGTGGAGCACAGGATCTGTTCCAACTAAGAGGTGAATATAGCTGAACCGCTCAGTAATAGTGACCATATTGTAATTAAATTTAACATCCTTGTGGGGGGTGGGGGGATACCAAAGAAACCCACCACAGTAACAATTCACTATAGAAAGGGGATCTACATAAAAATGAGGAGGCTACTTAAATGGAAATTAAAAAAGAATAGTCACGAGTGAAATGCCTGCAAGCTGCATGGAAACTATTTTAAAACACCATAACAGAGGCTCAAATTGTATGGATACCCCAAGTGAAAACCAGACAAAACAGTAGGAGGACCAAAAACACCCCATCAGGGCTACACAGAGTAAAAGAGGCAATTAGAGGCAAAAAGACATCTTTTAAAAATTTGAAGTCAAATCCCACTGAGGAAAATGGAAAGGAACAAACTCTTGCAAGTCAAATGTAAAAGTATAATTAGGTAGGCTAACCAAAAACAATTGAAAAGCAATTGGCAAAAGACACAAAAATGAACAACAAAAGGGTTGTTTGTTTGGGTTTTTTGAGTACATCAGAAGCAGGAAACCTGCCAAACAGTCAGTGGTGTCACTAAATGATTAAGGTGCTAAAGGAGCACTCAAGGAAGATACGGCCATTGAGAAGAAGCTAAATGAATTCTTTACATTGGTCTTCATTGCAGAGGATGTGAGGAAGATTATGTCTGAGCCATTATTTTTAGGTGAAAAATGTGAGGGAACTGTCTCAGACTGAGGTGTTAGTAGAGGTGGTTTTGGAACAAATTGATAAATTAAACAGTAATAAGTCACCAGGACCAGATGATATTCACACAAGAGTTCTGAAAGAACTCAAATATGAAACTGCAGAACGACTAAAAGTGGTATATGTAACCTATTGCTTAAATCAGCCTCTGTACCACATGACTGGTGAATAGCTAATGTAATGCTGATTTTTTTTAAAAGGCTCCAGAGGCGATCCCTGCAATTACAGGCTGTTAAGACTAACTTCAGTACATTAACTCCTTGCTTAACACTGTAGTTATGTTCCTGAAAAATGGTACTTTAAGCAAAATGATGTTAAGCGAATCCAATTTCCCCATAAGAATTAATGTAAATAGGGGGAGTTATGTTCCAGGGAAATTTTTTTCGCCACACATATACACAGTATACATTTTAAACAAACAATTTAATACTGTGCACAGCAATGATGATTGTGAAGCTTGGTTGAGGTGATGGAATCAGAGGGTGGATGAGGGTGGGATATTTCCCAGGGAACATCTTACTGCTAAATGATGAACTAGCACTCAGCTGAGCTCTCAAGGGTTAACATGTTGTTAATGGAGCCTCATGCTCTACAAGGCAGCATGAATGGAGGGAGGGAACACAGTTAAGTGGAGTTTCAGAGTGGTAGCCATGTTAGTCTGTATCAGCAAAAACGAGGAGTCCTTGTGGCACCTTAGAGACTAACAAATTTATTTGGGCATAAGCTTTCATGGGCTAGAATCCACTTCATCAGGTGTATGAAGTGAAAAATACAGGAGCAGGTA